ACATACAGATATATACATATGTATATATACATACAGATATATACATATGTATATATGCATATATCTATATGTATATATATCCATATTTATATATATTTATATATACATTGATTTATATTTATACATATATGTGTACATATATATGGGTATATATATTATATATGTATATATGTATATATATAATTACATATATATCATATACACATATACATACATATATATATATATATATATACATATACATGCATTCAAAAGATAATAATGATACATTATTGCATATATATTTATATATGTATGCATCTATATATACATATATCCAATAACCTATTCATTTATATTATCATTATCTTTCGATTACATCGTCTTTGGACTTAAAGTATATATAAATAGATACATATTTAATATATACATAGAGAGAAATATTGGTGTGTATATAGACATATGTATGTTTAAATATGTATATACTCCACATGTATAACTGTATTTCTTGTATTATGTACATATACAAAACACACACACATACACACATATGGAAACACACACATATATATGTACATATATATATATGTATACACATATATATACATATAGACGTATATTAATTGATGCATATATATAGATAGAGAGACGATATACATATATATAGACAAACACACAAATCTATATATGTGCATATATGTATTTAAATATGTGTGTATATGTGTGTGCATATGTGCATATATCCGACTGTCTGTTTGTCTACCTGTTTATCTGTCTCTATATAGAGAGACACTGGGGGCGAGACTGAGAGCGATAAACCGAGAGGCAAAGATGGAGAAAAATATACACATGCAAATGTCTATATATGCCAGTGAATTAGTACATGGAAATAAATCGTGTATATACATGGTCACATTCACATTCATACGCATAGGCACATGCACATATATAGATGGATAAAGACAGGTATCTAAAAAAACAAAAAAGCAGTACACATTTATTTAGTAGTTAACCAAATTCTAAATAACAACACCCACTTTTCCTAGGCAATTGCATTTAAACTCAATAAGCAACAGACATCAGTTGGTGATCTGTCATGTGAAATCGAAGAGTGTGTTGTCAGGAAGTCGATTATCCGTAGTATCCGCCACGTCCATAGCCATAACGACCCCCATATCCATATCCACGACCTCCGAATCCATAGCTGCCACGACCTCCGTATCCATAGCCTCCACGACCTCCGTATCCATAGCTGCCACGACCTCCGTATCCATAGCCTCCACGACCCCCAAATCCGAAGCCACGTGCTCCAAATTGAGGGTCAGCGTCAGCCACGGGGTCAGGGAAAGCTACGGGGTCAGGGTCAGGCATGGCGGTGGTCCAGCTCAGCAGGCATGTTAGGGCCACTGCTACGGCCAGAATCATCGGAACCTGAATCAGAAAATAGTTAAATAAACTTTTGCATGAAGATACGGCTAAACGCTTCACTGACTAAAAGTGTAAGTGACAAAATTCTCCACAAAAGTGTCAACAGGATCGTAAGTTTATGGGGAGGGTATAGAGTATTCGCCTACCGAAACGTATTTTGCCCTGTTATTTTTTAAACCGAGTATAGAAAATACTCAATCTTCACTAACGAAATCTTGCTTTTCAAAAGAAAGAAATAAAAAAAAGTTTATATTTACTGAAATTTATATTTACTGAAATCAATATAAACACATATTTCACACTGAACCAGACGCATGATTTTGTATCTCTTTTTATTTGTGCCAGATTTGGTAGGGGAATAATGACATTATTCAAATTTCTTTTCTTTGTTAATCGAAATGTCAAAAAAAGAAAGACTTTTAATCCTTTATACGATTTGACCTACGAAAACTACGAAAACACCCTATTAGTAACTTTGTTCTTAGAAAGCCATACCAAAGGGTACCTCTCCAGGTGTTACAATACCTAAAACAGAGCGCCTTACAGTACACTACAAACGTAATATCACATGAACGCCGACAGCTACGACACCTCAGCCAACTTACCAGATTCATGTTGCTTTGGGGATGAGCGTGGACCGAATGCAGACGGGACTATGGCTAAAAACTGGAGTGAATCGAGCTTCTATAGATCACAGGACAGCTCCGAATGTCATTGACAAACTTTTTTTTCTTCTCGAATTGTCCTTGAGAAAGCCATTGTCATTGATCACACTAATACCATGTTATAAAAGGGTTCGAAGAAATCTTTTTAAATTGTATTTTTACAGAATGTTCTGCTATACAGATTAAGAATGCGAATATCAGTTATTTTGAGAATGAACATACTCTTGAAGGCACAAAAGAACGGAAATTATCTTTCATAACTTCCAGGACCTGTGTTACGCAGCTACTGCCATCCCTGTGATATAACATGAACGAAATGGATTCTAGCGTTATTGTGCGTAATATATATATATATATAAGTTAATGTATTTACCCTTACATATGTTTATACAAATCTATATATATATACATATATATATGTGTGTGTG